TGTGTGTGTGTGTGTGTGTGTGTGTGTGTGTGTGTGTGTGTGTGTGTCACATGTATGGGTGTGCTTCTGGAGTCCAAAAGAGGGAGTAGATTCCCAGGAACTGAAGTTACAGGAAGTTGTGAGCCACCTGTCATGAGTGCTGGGAATTGAACTCAGATCCTCTGAAAGAGCAATGTGCACGCTCATTTTATGTCAATTTGACACAAGCTAGTGTCATTTTGGAAGAGGAAACCATAACTGGGAAAAATGTCCTCATGTGATTGGCCTATGAGCGAGCCTATGGTGCGTTTTTGTTCTGGGGAGTTTTTAATGTTTATGAATGACTGATATAGGAGGGCCTAGCTCACTGTGGGTGATGCCACCCCTAGGCTAGAGGTCCTGGGTGCTCTAAGAAAGCAGTCTGAGCAGTCTAGTAAGCAGCTCTTCTCCACAGCCTCTGCCTCAGCTCCTGCCTCCAGGTTATTGCCCTGTTTGAGTCCCTTTCCTGACCCTTTTCAATGATGAACTCTAACAAGGAAGAAGAAGTGAAAGAGACCCTTTCCTTCCCCAAGCTGCTTTTGGTCATGATGTTTTATCACAACAATAGTAGCCCTGACTGAGATAAGCAGCAACCACTTTGCCTGCTGAGCCATCTCTCCAGCCCTTCCACTTAATTTTTATGTTTAATTTTATTTCGTTCAGTTGCAGATCCTGTTCTATTTTAAACTTTTTTGTACGTCAAGCTTCTTGGTCTTGAGCATATTTACTTTAAGCTCACTTGCATTGCCAGAGATAGAACTACTTTATGACAACAACCTGTTACTTCTCATATTTGCAGCATGTTAATCTCTAGCAAGAGATTGCTGTGACATCACCAGAATGTTCTAAGTGAAGTATGCAGCACAGAGGCTCCACACAGACCCTGAGCCCCTTTAATGCAGAGAGCATATATGTATGTATGTATGTATGTATGTATGTATGTATGTATGTATGTATGTATATGTGTGTGTGTATGTGTGTGTATCTGTATCTCTCAGTGGTAGTATAATGAAAGGTCGCAGACCCTACTTTCAGAGTAGCACACATCCCCAGGCATTGGTCCCTCAGAGCAGCTGCCATCCTGGCTGCCTGTGTGGTTTCAGCATGGGAATGATGGTGCAGAGATGTTACAAGGGCCAGAGATGTGTGCAAACCTCTTACTCTGGTGTCTTAGATAGTTATTGGCTTTAACATGCTGTAAAACTTTAGGTCTGAGGTGTATCTCAGAGGTAAAGCTCTCACCTGACATCACGGGCTCCTATGCATTCAAGCTTCAGTACTGAGAAAGGAATTTTTTCTGATCCAACACTGGTAAACAGTGATGTCTACAGGTGATTTGAGACAAACCGCTGTGCTGGGCCACTAATGTGACCTGAGGTTGGTCCTTGGAGGAACTAGATGTATAGATAGGACTTGAGATAAGTAGGTCAACCTAGTATAATGATGACCTCCACAAATTTCAACCAGACCAACAAACTGGAGAATGATTTATGAAACCCCTTAGGCTTAGGATTACTTAACGGTAAGAGTCAGTTCACTGTGAACAGGTATAAGCCCTACCCTGCGGATCACAACCTGACCACTAACTGGTGCGCACTAGTGTTAGGTTGGATGGGAATAATTTCTCTCTTACATCTGCTGGAGTTTGGGTTAACAATTAGGAAACAAGCCAGTTTAAAGTGGGACCCTGAAACCAAAATTTCTTTTTCAAGAGTTTGAAATTAGGCTTTTTAGGCCAGGCATGATGGCATATGCCCTTAATCCCAGCATTGAGGAGGCAGAGCAGGTGGATCTCTGTGAGCTTGAGGCTGGCCTGGTCTACAGAATGAGTTCCAGGACAGCCAGGGCTGTTATCCTGAGAAACAAACAAACAAAAAAAACAACAAAATTTAAAAAAGAAATTAGGTGTTTTCATTGATCAAAGATACTCTTGAAAACTTCTGTAATTTAGTGGTATTATGTTTTTTAAATGACTTGCTCTTACTCTGAGACCTTGTGCATGAAGTTTCAGCCTTCTAAGAATGTTTATGGCAGAGTTACAAACTCCAAGAAGGCCTGTAGCTAGTGAAAATGCTGACAGATTATTCTGCAGCTGCTGCTGGCCCTGCTGTACCACAGCTGCTCTGCAATAAAGCAGGCTGGTCTAGCCGCCTGTAAGTCATATGGACTGTTGACAGTTAAAAGTAAATTTTTCTCTCAGGTTGAATGAAAACTCTTTGAAAGGAATGTGGCAAGCATTTTCTTAGTTTAAATATTGTTTAACGTGACAGTGTCTCAATAATACTTTCCCTAGCTTAACTAACTTTTCTTTTTACCTCTAGAAAAACAAATATTTGGAAGCTGATAGTTTCCCTTTCTCTTCAGTCATATTTCTGTGGTTTAATTTATTTTGTAAGAATTCACAGGAGGCGTTTATATTTGAAACATTTAAGCTTTTGTGGATAGAATACTTTGATTCAACAGTCTTTTCAACAAATAGTATTTTCTTTTGGTGAGTCAACAGCAGTAGAAAGTTTGCTTAGAAAGACAACGAAGGGTCACGGGTATTGAGATGTAGCTAACTGCTCAGGAAGTGTCCTTCTCGCAATGAGCTGGGCTCCGAGTCTAGAAAGGTACAGGGAGAGGCTGTGTTTTCTAGGCTGAGGGGAAGGCTGAGCAGTAGGAGCAGCGGAGGGAAGTCCCTTCCTCCTGGTGGTTCTGCTCTCACAGGCGTGTCTTGCACATGGTCTCTTTAGGTGCTTTCTTAAATCCAGATCATGTCCCTGATTAACTCCTCCCCCTAGATAATTCAAACCGATCCCAGCACAGCTCCCAGCCATTTTTCTTGCCCCCACTTCCGTCAAAGTATTGGTTCTTGGCATGTTTGCCACCAGCTCTTCCCATGCCTCTTGCCTGGATCTCAGATGCTATTCCCTGCTTCCCAAGTCTGCCTGCTTGGCTAAGCCATGCTCATCCCTCAGGGTCACTGTTCCAGGAGGCCTTGCCAACTAGCCAGACTGTCAAAGCACTCTCTGCCCTTACAGCACTCTTTCACCTGTGTGCCGAGCTTCTCCCACTGGCCAGAGGCCAGGTTTCATAGCTGCTGCGGAGCTTAAGTGAGAGCACACAAGAAGTATTTATTCCATTTCATGAACTATATTAGGGCAGTGTCCGCACATAGGAAAATTCTTGCTCAGAGATTGAAATGAGTTAGTCCTTTCCTTGTTGGAAAGAACACATACGTATGCCTGCGTTAGTATGTTCCTCTGCTCCCCTGAAATGAGGGCCTCATATAGGCTACACTGGCCTCAAACCCTCCATCTATGTCAGCCTTCTGAGTGCTGGGATTATGTGTTTCCACAAAGCTGGCAACATTCTTAACATTCCAGTGACTAATCCTACTGTCTATTTTTGGTTCAGGAGCAGAAGTTTGATGAAGAATAGGAGAATTTCTGGTTGTTTGCATGACATACAGGTCCATCCAACTCAGAGTCTGCGCTCTTCACATTCATCAGGTAGGCTTTTATCAGATCATTCATGTAGTAGCAAAATCCCACTCTCCCTTATTCTGGGGGCTTATGGAAATCATTCCATTTCTTTGCAGCTCTGTTTCCATTATGAAATGAAAGTGTGGACTGGATGGCTATGCTGTTTCTCAAATTCTGTTCTCTGATATTTTTTTTTAAAGCCTTTCAGTTGATGGCTAATTCACATATGGGAAAATATGTCTAGAAATGTATCCAAGATGTGTGTGGTGGCTCACGAGTTTAATCTAACACTCAGGGAGGAAGTGGCAGGCAGATCTCTGTGAGTTTGAGGCAAGCCTAGTCTTCAAAGTTAGGCTATGCCGAGAGATCCTGTCTTGAAGAAGGAAGAAGGAAGAAGAAGGAGGAGGAGGAGGAGGAGGAGGAAAGAAATGTATATGAATATTTCCTTGTGAGTATAAAGAAAAGCAAAGTATACCAGATATGTATTATACAAAAGAAGGCATGTATGTGATACTTAAATGACTCCTTCTGAAGAACTAGCTGATAGCACAAGAGTGCTGCTTGTTTGAGCATGTGTTAGACAGGGGCAGAACTAGATTGTTATGCGTATGTGAGGGAGTGGGGTGAAAGGGAATGTTGGGGATTGAATTTAGGGCCCTAAGCCTGCTGGACAAACACTGCATTGCTGAGTACTTACTCCAGTAATTACTCTAATTGAAAGAAAGGAGCTTAGTGGTAGAGGACACTCCTGGTATGCTTAAGGCCTGTAAAATGCCAGCAGCATAATAAAAGAAAAGAAAAATATTCAAAGAAACACTTACAGGAAGTACTCCCTGAGTAATTCTTTTGAACCAGTATTCCTTACATTAATTTACCTTTAGAAGGGATATTACACCATTGCTTCTAGCTTGGTGCACTGGTATATACCTATAGTTCTAGTGCTTAAGCAGCTAGCTAAGGCAGGAGCATTGTTTTGAGTCCAGTAACTCAGGACTATCCTGGGAAATGTAAAATCCTAACCCTGTCCCCAACTCCAAAAAAAAAAAAAAAAAAAAAAAAAGCAAACTTATTAACTCCCAACAGTGGAGCGGTGAATGGAAATAAATAGGACTGACTCAGCCATACAACCTGGAAGAGTCCTCAAAACTGTTGGGGGAGAGAAGCATGTACCTTTGAAAACCAGGCAACACTGATCTGCTAACAGAGCCACTGGCAGACCAGAACAGTGGCTGCTTTGGTTGTGTTTTGACTTTTTCTTTTAAAATAAGACATTACTGTGTAGCCTGTCTGCCTTCCAAGTACTCGTACTACTGCGTGTACCACCAGACCCTGTTGGCCGGGATGCCTTAAAGAAAGGGGAACCTGTTGAGAAGGTATTACGGAAGTGTTGTATATGTTGATCTAGGTGGGGGTTCTATAAACACGTGTAGAGAATATAGTGTGCAATAAAGATCCCCACATTTATTGTGTATAATTTATATCGTATAAAAAGCTTCAAGTGATTGGCTGGAGAGTAGGCTCAACAGCTAAGATCGCTTGTTGCTCTTACAAAGAACTCAGGTTCAATTCCCAGCACCCACATGGTGGCTCACAACCGTACTCCAATCCCAGGGGATCTAATGCCCTCTTCCAGGCATTCATATGGTACACAGATAATTCATGCAGGCAAAACCCTTGTACACATATAGAATAAATAAAACTTTTTTGAAGTTTGAAAGTTATTATTTAATGTATTAGTCTTTTTGGCAATGGAATATGAGTAGGAATAAAAGGAACTGTAGCTCATCATCTCCAAAGAAATTGAGGCTTGGTTTTGTCGTTATTTTCTCAAAATTAGCTTGGCAGGAGGCAGTTATTATCATTGACCTGTTGATGTTGTTGTCCACTGGCTACATGCACACTGGTGTGAGCATAAACATGCACAGGATAGGCATGAGCAGGCACATGCACACTCGCACACATTTCTTCAGTATCGAGAGTCAGGTGTTCTGTACAGGTGGTTTTAGTGGAAAGCCAGATATGAGGTCTTTGCTCATTTGGAGTTTTCCAGTGGGAGAGATGGAGCTGGGTGTGGAGGTAGACAGTATAATCATGGAAGCACAGAAAGATGGTTCCTTCAGGGCCTGCTGGGGGGTTATTAGTGAAGCTGGGGAGGGGGAGACAATGGAGATTCTGTAGGAGTTTAAAGGAGGGGTTTCTGTGCCTAGGGCCTGACATTTTTTAGCTCTAGAATCTATAGAGTGTCTTTAACTTCTCAACTCAAGGACTATAATATTTAACTAGATCTTTACAGGTCTAAAATATTAATGTTGAATTTTAGAATACATTAGTGTTAGAGAACATACATAGTTAGCTGTCTTAGGTAACTAACTCTAGTGTCATGTCATAGTGACATATATTTCACTGTTGCTGTAGCTTCAGGTTTGGCTTTTGTCTCTTCCTTTCCCAGTCAAGTTCTCGCCTCTGTTCTGAGTGTTTAATATTCCCTACCCTCTGCCTTTATTCTGACCCCTTTTTAGTATTCTACTTCTAGTCCCCTGTGGACTAGACCAGAAAATACTGCATTTTAAGTGAGAATCATGGTACGTAAATGTTATACTCCAGTATAAGTTTACGTACTGAAGATGTGAAGAAGCTCTTTCTTCTTTCCTTTCTTCATTGTTGGTACTTAGCAACTATTTTCTGCAATCCCATCAGCAGTATGCGCTGTTAGCTGCTGGTAATCAGTTAGCTTTAGCCTGTCCTGATCATAGTGTTCCCTGGGAGGAGCTGTTCAGACCTGAAGATTCTGAGTCATTGCTTTTTATAGCATTTATCATTGCCTGCTTTTCTTAGGTGTTAGGAAAAATCAAATGCCACCAAGTATAGAAAAGTTAAGTGAAACTGGATGATGGTAGCACACACCTTTAATCCCAGCACTTGGGAGGGAAGACAGAGGTAGGTAGATCTCTGTGAGTTCAAGGTCAACCTGATCTACATAGTGAGTTCAGGACAGCCAGGACTACACAGAGAAACCCTGTCTCAAAAAAAAAAAAGAAAGGAAGGAAAGAAAGAAAGAAAGAAAGAAAGGAAAGAAAGAAGAAAGAAAGGAAGGAAGAAAGGAAGGAAGAAAAAGAAAGGAAGAAAGAAAGGTTAAGTGGGATATTTTGATTCTCTTGGTACTTATACGAAGGGTAAAGAGCTACTAGCTAAGCCTGTGGGCTCATGCGAGTGGGAGGTTGATTGGCCCTACATGGAATTGTGTCTTCTCCTCCATGTATAGAAATGAGAGTGCACTGAAATGAGAACAGCCTGCTCCGAATTACTGGCCGCTGATTCTTCAACATAGCTGCATCCCTGCATTTGTCTGAAAGTATTGCGCTCACAGACTAGGCTTACGCTGGCTGTTTCCTTTTGACGTAGGATTGATGGAAAAACCAAGCACCATTTACTCAAATTCATCAGAATCATTTCTTCCTGGAATTTGCAAAGAGTTGATTGGCTCATCAATTGATTTTCTCGGACAGAGTTTTGATGAAGAAAAATCTATAGCAGATAGCCTGATAACTAATCTTCTTAAAATTTATAATGGGCTGTTTGCCATCTCCAGAGCCCATGAAGAACAGGACGAAGAAAGTCAAGATAACTGTAAGCAATTCCACTGCTTCTCCCAGCTCCTATAAATGATGGTTCTCTGCCCTTGACTCTTTATTTGGAATAATATTTGATGCATCTGGCCAGCATTTCTTGACTGTGTCTAGATGCTTTGATGGCAGCCATATGTGAGTCCTTTTATTTGGTGACTGTTTCTTGTAGTAATTTTCCTTCTTCTTTCCAAGTGTTCGCCTCTGACCGGGCAGCACAGGCCCTTACCATCCAGATCACTTGTGCCTTTGAGCAGCTTGTGGTCTTGTTCAAACACTGGTTGGATGATTTTCCACCTTGTACCAACTCAGCGAGGCTTGAAGATGAATTGAGACAACATATTAAAAAACTGGGAGGCTATTTACAACTGTTTTTGCAGGTAAGTTGATTTCTTATTTTTGAAGAATTAATATATTCTAAAAGTATTTATTGGCTTTCTGTCACCTGTATCTTCCCTGAAATTACATCTGAGGATTTCCGGGTACCTCCTGTTTTGAGGTCCTGAGACTATGGGTGCAATTGGTGTACTGAGTGAGCAGTGACTTCCTGTCTTCTTGTACCCTGGTTTCAGATACTGGTTCATTGTATCCTCATGCCAACCCCTAATGGGTGCTGCTGCCACCATTTTGTAGCGAGGAAGTAGAGGCTTAGGAAATGGCCAGCTCACCCAGTGCTGTGTAACCACTGGGGAATAGAGGTGGATTTGAATGCATGTGGTCTTGGTGGGTTATACCCAGCCTGCCCCCAGTTAAGGTCTCCGGAAGAGAGACAGAGTCTGTCTCTGGCTCTGGGCTGGCTTTCAGCTTGCTCAATTGGTAACAAACCTGTTGATACAGTGTTTCCTGCTTACTTTGTATCAAGTAACATTGGGTTTGGCCAGCAAGAAGACTACCCCGACAAACTGTCTGGAAAAACAAAACAAAAAAAAAACACAAAAGCTTGATTTCTGCTCCCTAGAAAGCAGAGGTATGCATGGAGGTTCTGCTGCACAAATAGGAGGGGTCCCAGCTTCTTGTTGTCCCCTCTGCTGTGCCTGAAGGGTAAACCTGACCCTATCATGCTCCGTCATGATAGAGCACTATCTGAGTTGTGTGTGCAGCTCAGGGGCAGGAGAGTTTCCTGGGAAGGAAGGGCCTTCCTGGGAGTCTCAGAGACATCACGTGATGATATGCTTGAGAACTTCGCCTGACCACATCTATGTCTATTATCAAGAAGTGTGTTTTTCATCCTAGGCACCTATGGATGAGGTTAAAAGTCAAGGGTTCCATTACTGTGGGAAAAGTAGGAAACTGATGTTGAAAAATATCACACATTGCCATACCAGAGCTCTCTATGAGAATTTCTCAAATAGATGAGAGGGAAAGCAAGAAAATACCAAAACGGTTAAGTTTTACTTTTTAAAACGGACACTCAAACTTTCTAGGCTATTTGTCACGTTTTATGTTGTGACACCCACCATATTTATGTAGTAATTTACACACTAAAGCTTTTACATTTGGAGGCGTGTAGGGCATTATACATGTCATGGTGCATGTGTGAGGTCCAGGCAACTTTCAGGAATCAGTTTTCTCTTAACACCCTGTGGGTTCCGGAGACCAAACCGAGGTCATCAGGCCTGATAGCAAGCTCCTTTACCCACTGAGCCAGCCATCTTACCAGCCCTGACTTCCCACATTTTTGGTAGTGGAATTTTTGTTGTGATAAGTAATTCCTGAGTGGGATGAGTTAGAGCAGTCTTTACTATCCATTGTTTTTTCGGTCTTTCTGGGTCTCCCCAGCTTGGTTGGGTATCTCTCTTGTTTGCTTTTTTGTTAACTCTGAGTAGAGCTTCTCACTATGCCTTTTAATATGCCATACTGTTGATGAGCACATGCATTCAGTGGCAGTAGGCTCCCTGTAGGTACAGGCCTCATGATGTGATAGCTAGCTAGTTGGATACTTGTTGTTGAATGAATGTTAAATTCACATGGAATGAAGGGTCACTTTGGATACAGACAACAGGGAAGAGAAGAGTGTAACACAGAAGTGGACTATAGAGAGATGCGGGCAAATTACAGCATAGGACCGTGAACATAGAAGGGCAGGATTGGTAGAGGGCAATGCTAGAGTCAGAATGGAGAGTGTCCTCCATTCTTTATCAGGATCAACCCTAATGAAGGAATATAGCTCAGGATGGCCTGAGGTAAATGAAAGAGAGGCGGTTTAAGAGGTGTGCATGTGTGTGTGTGAGAGACACACAGAGAGAGAGAGTGATGGGGTGGACATATGCCCAAATCAAAAACTCACTGTGATATTTGAAGTCCTGGGTTTAAAAATCTTTGCTATGTTAATTTGTGTCCTTGGGCAAATTGCTCAGCTTCTTGAGCCTCTCCATCTTCTCTCCTAGAAAATAAGAATGGTAGCGCCTACCTGGCAGGGTTGATTGTCAGACAAAACCATGGTGTAAGAGAGTACCTGGCTGAGTTCCTGCTGGGAAATCTCTTCCCTTCTCTTCATTTTCATGCTTCGAACTTGATTTCAACATTTAGCCTTGTGGAACACGTTCTATGCAACGAATGAAGGATGGAGATGCTGGGTGACTGGGAGAGGTTAGGCTGGGCTTGGAAGGCTCTTGTGAAGCCAGTGCTGGCCAGAACGCTTTCTAGTGAAGGGTGGTTGAGTGTAATGAGCATCTTCTGAATAGCAGCCCAAGACAGGCATTCTAAGAGCTGCAGAGGGGAGGGAGTAGAAAGAAGTGTTCAAGGAGCAACCCCTGTGCCTTCAAGACTCTTGCACTGCATGCATACGGGGTGGCTACTGTTTAAAGTACTGGGGTGCTTTTTCTCTCTCCTCCTCTCCTTTGCCTTCTCCCCCAAGAAAAGAGAAGAGTTTTGGTAACTGTCTATTGGGTGTAGTTGGGACAGTTAAAGTTGAAAGGACAAAGGCACACCATTTTATTCCTCTTTTTGATATTTACTTCTTACTCCTATCTTAGGCTTTATGTCTTTCCTTGAGGGAGGAAAAAGCTACTCTTGTTAATGTTACAGCTGTCAGCTTCGGGCTGCATGCTGTCTCTCAGGCATTTCGTGATTGCTAGGTTCTGAATTTTACTTTTATGTGTATGGGTAGTTCACCTGCATGCGTGCCTGTACACCACATATGTGCCTGGTGCCCTCAGAGATCAGAGGGGATGTCAGGTCCTCTGGAACTGGCGTTACAGATGGTTGTAAGTTACATAATGTGGGTGTGGCAATCAAACGTCTGTCCTCTGGAAGAGTAGCCCCTGCCCTTATCTCCTAAGCGATCTCTCCAGCCTTGTTATTGTTGATAGTTTTGGTGCTGGGACTGGGAGCTTAAGTCCAGCCCCCCAGGCCTGCTAACTTCACCCACTGTCGCTTTTGTCTTTGCTTTATCACCTCTTCATGTCTCGTATATGTGATACAATGACTGACCCATTTTTCTCTCATAGGGGTGCTATTCGGATATTTCATCGATGGTGAAGGAGGCTCAGAACAAAGTGATGGAGATTATGCAGCAGGCTGCTCAGTGCGTGGGTCAGCTAGCCATTCTGAAAGGGAGCAAGCTCTGCCTTCTGGAAAGCAGCAGCAAGGTTTCCAGTGCCCAGGTGATGTGCACTGTTAGTTCTGGAATACTTGTGGGGACACACTGGGGACTTCCGATAGGATCGCTGCACCCAGTAACAAGACATTTCTTTTTCAAAATAACTTGTACTTTTAAAAAAAGATTTATTTATGTATTACCAGAAGAGGGCATGAGAGCTCATTATAGATGGTTATGAGCTACCATCTGGTTGCTGGGAATTGAACTCAGGATCTTTGGAGCCAGTGCTCTTAACTTCTGAGCCATCTCTCCAACCCATAACTTGTACTTTTAATAGTTTGGCAATAAGACTTGAAATTCTTTTGGTCAGAATTGGATAAAATAGGCTGGGCTGTACTTCGTTGGCAGTTTGCATCACACATGACTTTGATCCCCAACACTGTAAATGTACGTTTGTAACCCAGCCTCAGGGGCAGAGTCAGAGGGTCAGAAGGGCAAGATCATGCTTGGCTGTAAAGCAAATTTGAGGCCAACCTGGGCTACATGAGTACCTTTCTAAAACAAACAAAAATGTTTAAACTATGATTGGATGGTTACAGATCCTTATAATCATTTTGCAGCCAGGCATGGTGCTATACACCTTTAGTCCCAGCATTCAGGAGGCAAAGGCAAGTTCTTTGTGAGTTCAAGGCCAGCCTGAACTACATAGTGAGTTCCGGGACAGAGACACCTCATCTCAGAAAAAACAAACAAAAAATCCTGGGGTTAGGGCTAGGATGTTCACCTGTGACCCCAGCATTAGGGGTTAAGGATCATGAACTCAAGGACAACTTGGGCTACATAATAAGACCAACCTCAAAAACTAAAGGAAAGAAAAAAATGTCCTTTTTGTTTAATGGTCTGATGGCTGCTGTCAACTGTGGAACGCGGTCTCACTTAGTCTACACATGAAAAAACAGTAATTATAGAGCATTTGTCCACTTTGTTTATGCTGTGACTGATACTGTATTAAAGTGCATGGTTTCCTAGCAAATAAAGCCTGCCTAAAATGAACATTTTTACAACATAACACATGGAATACTAAATTACAATTTTGTTAATTTTATTTCCCAATAGATTTTCTTATGCCAACGTTAGCTGAATTTAATAAACGGGGAATGAATTCTAGTTTCACTGCCTTACAGTTCTGAAGAGTATGTAAAACCAGGCAAGTGAGATGTGCAGTGGTAGAGGTGCCTGCCAGCAAGCCTGGTGGCCTGAGCGCCATCACCTCGAGCCACATGGTGGAAGGAGAACACCAACTCCTCCAAGTTGTCCTGTGACCCCCACACCTGTGTTCTCTCTCTCTCTCCTACACATAGGTAATAAAATTTTAACATGTAAAACCCAAGCTCACCAACTAAAAGTGAAACTTTTTCTAACAGGAATTCATGGCTGCTCTGCAGGATGGCGCAGCCTCGGGGATGAAGAGTCTCTTAGACTCTGGGCTGGAGCAAGTGCGGAAGCTCAGACAACGTCTCGAAAATGAGAGTGCACAGGAGGAGGTAAGCTGCGTGAGGAAGGTACTACCGTGATCTTACAATGCCTTTATTTCCACAAGTATATCACCAAAACACTTTCAAATGTACAAATAATAGTGTGATGCAGCGAGTTCTGTTTCTATGTGTTGTATATTTTAGTGTGTGGTGAATTATTTCATTGAAGAGGCAGATGGTGCCATGTCTCTGAGGCTCCTGACCCATATGGATGGTGGCAGCTACTGTTCACTCCATCTTTCTGTTCCGTCTTTACTTTTCTACCCAAAACACGGAAGCAAGCACAGTCATCCCAAGATGCAGACCTGGAGAAGATGTCAGTGGCTCTCTAAGTGTCTGCCTCTCTCCAGATGACCGACACTGACTCGCAGGCAGTGCTAGGAGTGAGGCTGCTCTTGAGGGCCAGCTTCATGTGGCGGCTCACAGCAGGCTGCTCTGTAACTCCAGCCTCAGGGTCTAATTCCCTGCTCTGCCCTCTGAGGGCTCCAGCCACAGATATCTGCACAGATATATGTACACACAAAATACCCATGCATATTAAATTTTTTTTAAATTTTTAAATAAAAAAATACTAGAAACAGTGGCTAGCAGATGCCGAATGGCTTGTACATGTTGTATTCTTTGAATGTCTGCCTCTCTTGTGTATTTTTGTTTATTCATTTTAAAAGATGAACAAAACTGAAGGAGTTTGTATTGTCACTAAATCAAGATCTATGGATCCTGTGCAGTTTAAGTAGATGTGAGGCTGACTGAGATTCTGTGGTGGGACGCTGAGGAGAGGGCAGTTCTGGACTGTTAGGCCATAGTCAGACCTCTGCTGTCCCTGAGATTGGCTTTGCCCCAGGAGCAGCCCCATTCATTGATCACATCTTTTATCTGTAACTGGAGTTTGTCAGTAAAATTTCTGCTGGTGCTAAGTATGCATACTCTGCTGGTGCAGAGTGTGGAATAGATAGTGACGAGTGGAGACAGAATGATATCCAGGAAGTGCTTATCCCAAAGGTTAATTCAGATGTGGGTGTTAGCTCTATTATTGTTTGAGGAGATAAAAGAGAATTCTTCACACACAACTCCGTTCTCCTTCCTCTTGGAGTCCTACAGTCTGCCATTTTAGTTTGTTACATGGTGGGATTTTAATTCTTGTATTCTCCCCCCCCCCCCGCCATGTCTGTGTGTGTGCGTGCGTTTGTGTAGGTACAAGGTATGAATATGTGCATGGGGAGGTAGTCATAGGTCAACCTTGAATGTTGTTCTTCAGAAACTGTGCACCATGGTATTTGAGACAGGATCTCTCACTGGTATCCGGAGCCAGCCAGTTAGGCTGGGCTGGCTGGCCAGCAAGCCCTTGAAGTCCTCAGTCTTCATTTTCTTGGCACTGGTATTACCAGCCCATGGCATCATGCTGAGCTCGTTTTGTGGTTGCTGGGGATTGAACTCAGGTCCTCATGATTGCATGGCAAGTGCTTTACCAACTGAGCCATTTCACTGGTATTCTTTACGATTGTATTCTTCCAACTTGAGATCCATTAGAACCCATAGCAGGAGCTGGGGAGGTGGCCCAGCAGGTGAGAGTGCTTACTGGGGTCAGAATCTCAGCACGGGAAGGCAGCTCAAAACCCCTGTAACGCCAGCTCTAGGGCATCTCTCTCTCTCTCTCTCTCTCTCTCTCTCTCTCTCTCTCACACACACACACACACACACACACAGGTCAAGTGCTAGGCAGTGGTGGTACACACCTCTCGTCCCAGCAGTCAGGAGACAGAAGCAGGCAGATCTCTGAGTTTGAGGACAGCCTGCTCTACAAAGTGAGTCAATGACAGTCAGGGCTCTGTTACACAGGGAAACCCTGTCTCAACAAACTAAAAAAATTTTTAAAAAAGTACATCGTTTTGCATTATAGGCTCACAGAGGGCACTGGGATTATAATTTCAAAACTGGGTTCATGTAATAAAGAATTTAGGTATAGTTTGTTTGTTTTTTGGGGGGACAGGAGATCGTCTACCATGTAATTAGTCCTAGTTGGCCTGGAACTTGCGTTGTTATCCAGGCTGGCTTGAATTTTCAGTAATCCTCCTGCCCATCACTCCTGAGTGCTGGGATTACAGGTGTGCCACCATGGCCTACTTCTTTTCTTCTTATTGTAACGGCAAGTCAGTGCCGACCTAGACAAGAGCTTAGTGGATAAAGCCAATTAAACACACAGCAGGCTCCCCCGGCAGAAGCTCGACTCCACCCGCTGGGGCAGCAGTGAGCAGTGGACCGGCAGCCGCTTCTTTCTGCTCTAGTCTAAGCCTGGCACCACCTGTGAGAGCTAGGATCGGATTCTCAGTCTGTAAGGTGGGAACTAGCATGTGCTGATAAGAGTGTACTGAGAATCACATAAAATATTTATATTTCATTCTTAATGCATGTGTACATGTGGGGGCTTGTATGTCACATCTTGTATGTGGATGCCAGACAACTGTGTGGAGTCAGTTCACCGGCTCAACTTTAGGTGCACGCCTTGCGCAGCGAGTGACTGCCCTGCTGAGCCCACGGAAATCCCATTTAAGTAACTTGAAGCCGTTTTCTGCTTAACTCACAAATGGAATTTCCTTCTCTTCTGGTCTCACACAGGTCTTAAAATTGTGGGGTTTTTTTGGAGTTTTTTGTTGTTGTTTTGTTTTGTTTTGTTTTGTTTTAGCTGTACTGGACTTGCTTTGTGAACCAGGCTGGCCTTGAACTCAGAGATCCACCTGCCTCTACCTCCCAAGGGTTGAGATTAAAGGTGAGTGCCACTGTGCCTGGCAAAGTTGTGTTTCTTGATGATAACTTATGTAACAAAATCCTTTACTGTTTCTCTAGGTCACCAAGCACATGAAAGCTAACGCCGTGGAGCTGGTTAGGTCTCTTGAAAATACCTTTGCTGAGTGGAGAACAGTAAGAGAAGCTTTCACTTGTTGCCTCAGTTGTAGATACTTCCCTTTGCAGCCCTAGCTGGAGACGGCTCTGCCCTGCCTGTTTTCTGGTCTTCCCTCAGCTGGCCTAGTGTTAGGAACAGGTCCATGATGGCACAGGGACTTACTAAGGCATCGTCTCTTTCTTAGCCACTGGCGTAGGAGCTGCCAGCCTGGGTGGTCATTATAGGCCAAAACCACATTTAATAATCAGTGTCCTCAAATAGTGTCCCATAGAGGTGGGTTAAAATGTTCTCATGTCACAGATCTCACTTTATAGACAAAGATAGATGGAGCGTAAAATCAGTTACTGAAAAGGAGAGTAATTCCCATGGCTGAAATAGTTGAGCAAAGTAAATATTTAAATAAAGTAAATGCTGTGAAGTTGAATTATCTGACATTACATGTTTGCCTTTTATGGTGTAAGATACCATGGCACTGTGCTCTGTTCTGTTCCTATGTGCTAGGATGCTCGGGCTGTGATTTAAATTACGACTGATCTCTTACTGCTTTTTAAAAGTAATCACTGCTAATTTTGTATTTTGACCTTGCTTATAGAAATGAAGTTATATAGTTATAAAATTAAACATTTCGATGTAATTTGTTATTGATGTAGTTTCATTGTACATTGCATAAACTACTTTAATGATAAAATTCTGAGCACTTAAAATCCTTTTGACTAAATTTACTGCCATGTAGTCTATTGTATCTATATTCTAAATATTAATTTTGCTTATTCAGAAAGGCTTCAGAACTCAAGTACAAGAAGGTTCTAGACAACAAGGTTCCACGATGTCAACTCTGGCATCGGAATTCTTGAAGTTAAAATGTTGTGTGGAGAAAACCGCTGAGACTATCACATCTGCACTGAGAGGTATGCCCTGCAGGGGGATGCAGAACCAGACGGCATGGTCCCGGGACTCCGGCACGGCTCCTTTCTCCCCTCGCCTGAGCTCTGACTACAGCCCGCAGCACTTTCCAGTGCCACCAGTTGCCAGTGTGGGCACTTGGGTTGCCGTTCCACATAGCTCCAGTCAGCGCCTCCACCTGCAGTCAGAGAGGCCAAGGGCTTATCCAACGTGGAGGCGCTCGGTGGGATAACCTCCCGGGGTTGGGGCTTGTGGTGTGTGATCCTTAGAGTCTCGACAGTACCTGCTGACACCTGGAAAGGATAACCCGCTTTTCCTTCCACTCCTCCATAGGGCGCCCCAGTGACCTGTGCTGTCTCAGAAGCTGTACTGAAACCATCTGCAGCCTGGCTCGCAAGCTCCACAGCGACTTCAGTGCGCCCTCTGCCCCTGCTGGCAGCTGTGGAGATAGTCTAGAGCCTCTAGCTCACTCTCTCCTCTTAGGTTTTGAATGTGGAGAAAGACCTGGCTTGTTGAAACCCTGGGAATCTTGTAATCGGAATAGCAAGGAAGAGCAGTGTAAGTCAAGCTGGCCTGACTGCAGCAGAGGCGTACCAACACGTTATGAACCACATGCAGACACATTCCCAGCACTGTTGTTGGGGGATGGCACCCCCAAAAGGATTCAGTGGGTATGAAACCACTGCACAGGCACTCGGTGACCATCCTTGACCAAACATTTTCCTTACGCAGGAGAACACAGAAAGAAATGAGTGTAAATATCTAGAGTCCATGTCTGTGTGCAGCCTCTTGGTGGTTGTGGGTAATACAAACAGTATGGAGTCCTGCTCTCAAAATGCCTCAGTGTATGCTCAGAATTTTGTAAGCAGACAGTTTTTTAACAGAGTTTACCATGTTACAACTGTGGCATCAGAATGAAATTAAGGTCTCAGGATCAAGTGAGTGACTGTGTCCTCAGTTTCTCATTGCCTTGAGTTTTAAATGCTTACCTTTAACCCTGATCCACTGTCTCTAGCTGATTCATTAGTCTGTTTGTAGATGGTTATTATTTTCTCAGGAATGGAAATCTGAACAGTTAATTACTTTGGGCCTGTGTATTCTCTCCCACAAATATAGCGTATAAGATTAGGTTCATGGTAAAATTCTCAACTCAAGGTAACTAAGGCAGCTTACTGAAACTCTTTGTCAAAGTGCTATTTGCCACCTTCAATAATAGACGGATGTAATTTGTTTCTTTCAAACTGTACATAACTAAAGATTATATAATAATAATATGACCAGATAGCATCATAGTTTACTCTGTTATGTGTGTTCCATAATGGTTGTTCTAGTTATAAAGTTTAAAAGTAGTAGTGAAATGTGACCAGGATCACTTGGAAGGGTCAGAGCCTGGCCCTTTTTTGATGGCGCTTGTTTTGCTAAAGGGTAATTGGTTTACATGTTGTTTGATGGAGAGAAAATATCCTTATTATATTTCATAGCTTTAAAAACCTTTCATGTACAATCAAGTAATAAAGATAATATCCTAGCTTAGTGTTTAACTTAAGGAAATGGTTTAACATTTTTGTCCTCAAGAATATGTTTAATTTGAAAGATACATAGTATCTCTGCCTAGATGATTCTGGAGGGAAATTCTTCTGAGCAGCCTGACCATTTTGGCTTGTAGATGTTGCCTGTACATACAGCTCAGGGAAGTTGGCTTGAATATGCCTGCCGTTTTCTCTGTGGGGCGAGATTGTAGAGGAGTACTCCCCTGGGCGGTTGGCGGAGCATTGACGGTCCGGGCTGTCCCTTGTGCCTCTGGGAGCTTTGAGGAGGTGCAGTGCAGTGGCCAGGCCACCCTGACTGCCCCTGATCCTGAAGTGTGGCAGCGCAGAGGACTTGTTTCCATTTTTCTTGTTTCATTTTGGCACTTGGGATTTCTTTTTGAAGTCAATGCTCTGGCAAGTAGCCCTTACTGTGAAGTATGGAGAAGGGTTCTTCCTGAAGGCTGTACTTCCTTGAACTCACTAAGATACCAGATGGCAGCTTTCACCTTGCTGTGCAGCTGTTACTCTTCAGTTTCTCCGTCTCTTCTCCCTCAGCTTTTCTCTTTGAGACTTGGTCCTGCTGGGTAGCTGGGAGTGGCCTTGCCATGTCATTTTGCTGCCTGTGCCTCCTGAGTGCTGGGGTTACAGTGTGCACCCCAAACCCAGCTAGTGTCTGTTTTTTAAACTCATGTCTGTCCTTAAAAATGTTTTAGATATGCTTGTAAGCTTATTTATATTTATGCTAAATAATTTGTTATACTGTATTGAGTGGATGGTGTAAAATATGTTGCTGTGAGAATCATGTGCACTGAAGAGTGTTATAAAGAGAGTGCCTTTAATAAATCTTGTGAGCTTCAGAATTGCCTCCTGGTGTAAGATTTTTTATTGAATTATTTTCATTCACTTTACTCTGATTCAAAAACATCACAGTAGCTTTGCGTGGCTAATACCTATCCTATTTCACAAATCAAGTAAATAGGAAACACTAAACAAATGATAAAATTATTGTGGATGCTATGTCACTTTTCTTGCTCATTTGCTTCTGAAGGTAGGGACTGAATCCAGGTGCTTTGTCACTGAGCTGCCACATAGTCCCTCCTTCTCTAACACTGTCCTGGCCTTGGGATTGCTTGGCCATGGAAAGCTTTACTTCCCTATTCTCTGCTTTGAAGCTGTACTGCAGGCTGTATTATAATTGCAATTACTCAACCTTGTTGTAGGTGACAATATTTACTACTGGTTTACCTTTTATTAATGCTGCTATTAATCCTAAACAGCTATATACCCAAACCACCACACAGATACTGGGATTTATTTAATTAACCTCGAACACAATGCTGGGCAATAATTACTCCCTCTTAAACCTCCAAGCCCTCATAGTTTTCTAACATTTAGATTTTACCCATTATACTTGGCTTTTTGTGAAATCTTAGGTCCGGTTCATTCTCCACATCGTTCCAAGATCTGTTCTCCAGCCTCAGTTCTCCTAGCTCTGTCCCAGCCCTTTTGCCTCCCACTCTTTCTGTCCTCTGGCTCCTCCCCTCTCCCGACTCCTTCCTCTCTATTGCTCAACATCATGGCTGATTGTTTTATTTTGGATGTTTACACAAAGTTGAGACAGGTGATGCCTAGAATAAGTATCACAAAATGAATAAGTATCACAATGCAATATCCGGTTGAAACCAGAGAGTGAGGGGAAGAAATCAGCATTTGAATGAATAAGGGTAAGGTGTATACATTTCAAAAGAACATTATACCAATACAAACTTAAACAAGGTGCTTGCTGCTTGTTCCTGATTCTTCCTCTGCATCCCATTTCATTGACTATGTATGTGGGCACTAAGCGAGGGAAAGGAAGAATGGTTCCTGGTCAATAGCAGATGATAAGCAAATGTTAGTCTGCCCTTCTGTAACTAGGTGCAAAACATTGTTACATAAACAAGATCACAGCTGGTGTGGTGGTGCACCCCTTTAATCCCAGCACTCTGGAGGCAGAGGCAGGTGGCAAGTGAATTCCAGTGTTTCCAGTATCTTCATGTAACTTTTCCAATCCGCCTGTAATGTAATGTGACAGTTAGTTGTAACTGTCACGCTGACATACATAGAATGACCTGAGAACGACTCTCACTGAGGGCCTGTCTGGGTCACGCTGTGGGCACCTCTGTGTGGGGTTTCTTGACTGCATTAGTTGAGGTGGCACTATCCCCAGGGCAGAGGATTCTGAACTGTTTGAGATGGAGAAGGGGAGCTGAGCGCTCACGTGCTTGCATGAATGGAGCTGAGCACTCATTGTTCGCATGAATTCATTGTTCTCTGCACTTGACTCTCTGAGTGAATAGCTGCCTCCAGTTCCTGCAGCCCTGACTTCTGCCCGGTGGTGGGCTGTAGCCTACAGTTAGCCAAATAAGCTGTCACCCTTAAGTTGCCCTCATCAGGGTGTTTTGTCACAAGAAAAGAAACCAGGGTCAGTTAAAACTCTTCCAAAATGACATTCTTGTGCAATTTCCTTTAGTAATTTTATTATAAAAATGTATCACATGTCCACAAAGTACAAGCATCCGTGTGTCTGCTTGGATTCAGGCTCCAGGACACTCGCAGTAGTCATGAACAAGCATGCCTCAGGCAGAGGTATCTGAGAAGGCCTTTGTGTGTAACAGCCACCTTCTTGCCTGTGAAACATGGAGCCTGGTGGGTCCTGGTGAGGCTTACGTTGCTTCTCTTTGTCTCTACAAGCTGAGCTGAACCCACCATGAACTTGTTCGTTCCCAGTTGGTGCCCTTATGGGTGATACATCACCGGCAAGCTTTCCCGAGAGGACCAGTGCCACCATCCGTCACCCAGGTGAGTGGGGCCCTTGCTAACGTATTGCTCTTATACATCAGTGTGGTGGGCGGCAGCTCCAGTAATCTATTAGCGTAATATCCCATTGGGTGAGGTATATTGATAGGGCAAAGCTGGTCGATCTGTGAATTGTGGGTACCTAGGAGTTCGGGTCAAGAAAGTAATGCAGATCTCAGGCTGGATTGATGCGGCTGTGAATGGTGTTTTATGATGTAAAGTTTACCTCTGATTTAGAAAGTAATTTAATGTAGGTGACAGCTTGGGTTCAGGTTAAGAGAGGTCAGCGTGGCAGACATCTGGAACTCCTGGAAGATGTATTCGGGGAATAAAGTACCGTTGTTGATACTTCTATTTCATTTTGCAATATGTCACTGGGGGGCAACAGAAAATTGGCCCGAGAGTAAAGTTTTGCACATAAAGCAAAACAGACTTATTCTGCTGCCTGCCAGGTCAATAAATATGCGGGAGCGTGGCCTCCAGAAGCCTGTGGCCATCAGCACTGGCTGCTCGGGGCTGCGTTCTCAGAGTCTCATTCTTGACCCTGATGTTTATGAAACAAAGCAGAGGTCAGCGTATCACCTGTTCACGCCTCGTGCAGGGCTCGGGGAAACAGCAGAAGCAGTGTCTAGGCAGAGGAACAGGGGCACAGAAGATGCAAAGGCAGGCCCCGGTAAATGTCCAGGGGAGACCCAAATGGGGGAACATGGTGATTTTTTTTTTTTTAAATCAGAATCTGTATAAATGTTTGGCCTGCATGTATGTCTATGCACTGCATTCATGCCTGAGCCCTTTGGAGACCAGAAGAGAGCATCAGATCCCCTAGAGCTGGAGTCACGGATGGTTATGAGCCATGTGGATGCTAAGAATTAAACCCAGGTCCTCTGGAAGAGCAGCCAGAGCCATCTCTCTAGCCCTTTGATCCTTTTTTTTTCTCCCTCCCCCAACCCCAGAAAAGAACCATTGTTCTGACTGGCAAGGTTACTTGGAAGCATCTGACTAGGCAGAGAAAGAATGTTCTGGTGACCCTCAAGAATGGTCCACAGCATCATTGCATATTAATCCTCTTCCGCAGTTCCAGCTTCAGATAGCCAGTCTCTCTCTCTCTCTGACAGTGTTAATATTTGTCTTGGCTCTTGTACAATATACAATAACATTGTCACATTCTGTTATTAGTTACTGCTATTCTTCTCTCTCTACTCTCTTTCTCTTTCTTTTGGTGTTTTTCAAGACAGGGATTCTCTGTGTAGCCTTGGCTGTCCTGGACTTGCTTTGTAGACCAGGCTGGCCTCAAACCCACAGTGATCCAC